CAGTTGGCGACTTCGAATGACGGATGAAGTTCTTGGCTAGATTCTCATCAATGTACTTCCGCAACTCAGTCAACTCCGTTTGCGACAAATTGTAGATTGGTCCAAAAGGTGGTTGTGCTCCTTCTTGCAATTCAATGGCACAGTCATAGGGTCGATGCTCTGGCAGCATATCAGCATTCTTCTTTTCAAAGACATCTTTGAATTCTTCATACTGCTTTGGAATAACCAAAGTCGGAGTTGCATCTTCTCGAGTCGGAGTTGCGAAGATGACAAGAGGTGTATTTTGCTTGGCTTCCTTCATGAAAGCCCTTGCACCTATAAACAAGGATTTGTTTCTAGACATTGTCTTGGCAGATTCCACCTTCAAGGAGTTTGTTGGAAATGTCACTTTCTGCAACTTCCAATCTATCAATGGATTATATCTATCAAGCCAAGATAGTCCCAAAATGATAGGACATGAAGGGATCTTGATAACATTAAATACAATATTGCTCTCATGGTTTTCAAGACGTACCTTCAATGGTTTAGTTTCATGGATAACATTGCCCAAAGACAATGGTCGTCCGTCTATGACTTCTACATGGACAGGCTTAAGTTTCTTTACAAGAGAAATATTGTGAAGCTTGGCAAACTCTTCATCTATAAAGCAAGCGGATGCACCCGAGTCTAATAAAGCATCGTTTTCTGTTCTTGAATACCCAGATGTAAAGGTACCATAAAACAATCTGAAGGTTGAGCTGAGAGAAAGGGACCTTGCTTAATTTTGGATGTTGAGATGTCCAGCCGCACGGTCCCTATTGTGGCTGGGCGTCCTTGTTTTCCTGCATGCTTGTACTCTTGAGTCTTGTTGTTTGAGGCTTCTGTTTCTTCCGACAATCTACAGCTTTATGGCCCGCTTCTCCGCAATATAAACACAAGTTTTGTTCAGACCGTCGCTTCCTTTCCTCAGCTGTGAGGGGTTTGAAACGTACCGCATCAATTTGCATGGGTTCAGGATCTGTGGAGTGATTCTCTGGACCTTTTGAAAATGTAGCAAATGCTCCATCATTTCTCCAGCCTGATCGTCTTTCTTGTCGTAATTCAAAGAGGCGGTTGTCACAAATAATTGCCTGAGATATAAGTTCTTCTAAAGTATCCGCCTTAGGCATGGTGATCAATAAGTTCTTGACATCATCTCTCAGTCCATATCGAAATCGTGTCATGAACGCCTTATCATTCCAATCAAGATCACATGTAAGCTATTGAAATTCTGCAGCATAGATTGCAGCAGAACGTGATCCTTGTCGCAGATTTTGTATCTTTCTTTCAGCCACTCTTTCTCAATCGCTATCTCCAAACGCAGCAGTAAGTCTCTCTATGAAAGCCTCTAGGTCGTACAATATTGGAGAATCCTTCTCCAATAGTGGAGCAAACCAAGAGCGAGCATTTTTTGATAGAAGAGTACCTATGAAAGCAACCTGGGTAAATCCATTCGGATAACGAGAAGGGTATAGGCGTAGGTAAAGCCGTACTTGTTGCACAAAACCTCGAAAGTTGGCTCTTGTTCCGTCAAACTTGTCTGACATACTCGCTTTTGGTTCTTTCGTACTAATCCTTGAAGTATCTATAGGGGTCGTATGTGACACATGACTTGCTTCTCTCAATCGAATAATCTCTTGTTGTAGGCTATGAATTTTGCGTCTAGCTTCTTCGGTCACTAGATCAATTTGAGGTTCTTTACTTGGATTGCGAAGAAATGTAATCTCCTTTCGTACACTATTCATAAGAGCTTGAAGATCTGCAAGAGTTGCCACTCTATTGTCTACTTGTGGAGATGCACTGTCTATGACCTGGTCTACTTCCATATTTAGAGAATAGATGGATTAAAATTTTGAGAGAAGAAGAAATTGCTAAGTCTCTGGGAGAAAATTGTAGCACTACCTGTCACTAAAACCTACTCGGAGAAAAGGAAAAAAAAACACTAAACGATTTCAGTTTTAGAGGAGGGTAATCCGCAACCTCTAAAAATGCCTCAATGCTTTCGAGAAGAGGGGTAATCCGTACTCTATCAAGAAGGCAAAGCTCTGAAATTGATGTTAACAGTCTTTTCTACTAGCTATGCTAAACAAAAAGAAGGAATTAATATCAGTCCAAGAGAGGGTAATCCGCAACCCTTAGAACGCTCAAGTATCTCCAAAGAAAGGGGTAGTCCACTCTCTGCCTCAAAGAACTAAGCTCTGATATTGTGATTGAGAAAATATCAGTTTAGAGGAAGGTAATCCGCAACCCCTAAAGCGCTAGAATACCTTCAAGAAGAGGGGTAATCCGCTCTCAAACAAGAAGGATTCAGCTCTGATATTAAGATAAAGGTAGTCTCGACAAACTGTCACGGACACAAAATACAGACTTGAAATCTAACAAGAAGTTCAAGAAGAAGTGGTAGAACTAGATTAAACAGATGAGTACAAGAACAACACCAGAAAGGTGAGCTAGAACTCCAAGAGATGTGTTGTCGAGACTGAAGAACTCTTCAGCCTCGACTCCTATATATACTACTGGCCTATGGTTCTAAGGAAGCGCATCAAGAAGCTTCCCAAGAACTATGAAGCTTTTCGAGCAACTACCCAAGAGCTAGGAAGCTTCTCAAGTAACTTCCTAGAATCTTCTAGAGCCTTCTAAGGGAATCTTTAGGAAATCTTTGAAGAATCTTTAGAGAATCTTTGAAGAATATTCTAAGAGAATATTCAAGGAATCTTCTGGAAGTTTCTAGAGACTTCTTTCTAAAAGGTTCTAGAAACTTGTCTCTAGAAAGGTCTAAGGACTATGTCCCTAACACTTTGAGCATTTCTTATATGTAGAGAAGTCAATCCAATTGCTTATTGATTACATCAACTATAGTCTATGAAGATCCATCCTATATTTCATGTATCTCTTCTTGAGCAATATAAGACAATGAATATCTCAGAAAAAAGACAAATGCCACTACATCTTATAAAAGTAGATAATAATCAAGAGTTTGAAATAAAAGAAGTCTTAGACTCAAGGCAACATGAAAATAGATTGAAATATCGTATTCATTGGTATAGATACAATATTAGTGAACGTATATGGAGGCCAACAAAGAATCTTGTAAATATAGCAGAGAAGATTAAAAAAATTTATGAACAAAATCTATCAAAACCAAGATGAAGAGTGAAGCAATTTTGTACTATTAAACAAAGGATGTTCAATGAAAATTGCATTCTATCTTCTATCTTTCATTATCAATTCTTTGTATTTTGTAATGCTAATAAGATAGAAAATCTACAATCGATAGATTTGATTCAAAAACCATTGTATATTGATTTATTAGATGAGATATTGTGATTGTCATAGTCTTTAAGACGACATAATTAAGATGAAGATCCTAAAGAACAACATGTTCTTTCTTAAATAGATGGCAAGATACAATGCATTTGGTATTACAATCTTAAAAGAGATTCTCAATGTTTGGTGATTTTATTGGAGATATGAACAACTCTTGATGGTATAACAAATATTTTATTTAAAAAAAGTTATACATGCCTCAATAATGATTAAATAATAAGGTAGTCTTTTTGTCCTAAAATTAAACATTATCAGTAGCTACAAGGACCTATCAACTACCTTCAAAGGGAACAATAATCAAAGTATGCAGCAAATATAATTTGTTGCATTGTGGACTTCATCAATATGTGATCACCATTTCTTATGGAACTCGTTTCTAGAAGGGAGGATATGTCACAAACATACATATTGATTTTAACAGTTACTTAAGTAATATGAATAGATAGAAATAAGTAAAAGTATATTAATTTCATAATATCTTTTAAGGATGAGGTTTTACCTTTATAAATGTATATATGTGATTGATAGATTACAAATTTGGCCAACAAGTTAGCCACATATTACACACATTTGTGGCTAGTATTACAAGCTAATAATGTGAGATATATATATATATATATATATATATATGAAACATGTGTTGGAGGTCCTAGAGAACATTGTCATGTAGCTCTTAGATAGATAATGTATATTGAGGCAAGAGTGAAGCTTTCTTCACTCTTGTCAATTCTTTTCTTGCTACTAGTCTAGTTTCAAGGGTCTTTAATTTTCTTATCTTTTGGCAATAGCCATTCTAATTTTTTTTTAATATGTATATATATATTTATTTTTATTTTATCATTTTTAATTGAAAAAAGTCTTATTTATTTATTTTCCTTCATTGAATTCTTATTGTTGACAAACCAATAACTATATTTATCACCTCTTAAGATGTTTTTAGATCTAAAAGCCTACTTTTAAAGATTATGGTTTAAATTTCTTATAAAAATTATTTTTGTAGTAAAAAAAGTTGTCTTAAAGAATAACCCACTCTTAAAGAAAGTTGTCTTAAAGAATAACCCACTCTTAAAGATATTATTAAGTAAGAGGAGGCCATCATATCAACCAAATCATTCTTTTATTATGATTTTCATAGGGTCTTTCTTCCTAGAAGCCTCTTTTTAAAGGTCATTGTGTAAAATCCTTATAAATATCTTTTTTCGGTTAAAAAAAAAAAAAAAAAAAAAAAAAAAAGACTTTCTTTTAGAAGCCTTGATTTTTGGAGATAGTATAAAGTGAGAAGATGCCATAAAATGGACTATTCATTTTTCATATTTATTCTTATCATCATTTTAATTGTGTGAGCTTACATCTCTATAATAATATTTTGACAAATATGAAAAAAAATATAGATATTTAAAGCAATTTTGCACTATTTTTCTTAAACTTTTAGATAAACTATTTTTTGAGTTGGGTTTGTTGCAAATATCAAGGAAAAAATGCTTTTATTTTACATACTAATTTTTCTTCTAAATATTAAATAAAAAATCCACCTTAGATAAATAGGGACACACGGATTCATCAGTCGACTCGCAATTCGATCGGACTTTATCACGCGCTGAGCGGGGCCGAAAGGGTAGCGAAACTGCTCTTCATTTTGTGCACAAAATACGATGGAATGTTGCATTTTACGTGTCGCTCGATTCTACGGTGCCTCCTGCTTCCATCTCTTGGGAGGCTGCAGCAAGCAGACCAGGATTCCGCATCCTTGTATTATTAGTTTCTTCTTCTTTTCTTTTTTTACATCTTGCCGAGGTTGGTTGTACAACACACGCTTCGTACAGGAGGGATTCGGTGCTCACCAATTAATTATTTGCTTCGACTTTTGGAATTTATCAGATCGGAATCATGGCAGGTCCACTGGGTTCCTCGCTTGCAGGGAAGGTGATTCTTCTGGTGAGCGTTGCACAAGATATGGGTTATGAACTCGGAGCTCCTCTAATCAAACGGGGTTGCCGTGTTGTCGTCGCCGGAAAATTGTCTCGCTTGCAGAGTACGACCTCGGTTAACGATCTTGGTTCCGCGGAGGTATCTCGCCCTCTCGTCGTTTTCCCTTTTGCTGTATGTGCTTGTAGCTGTGGAGGGTCGCTTACTGTTTAGATTCATCCAACCTGATTCCTGACAACGATATGGTGATTTTGGTCCGCTGAATTGTTTTCAAATGTGTTCGCAGTTGGGCAAGCGTTACTTTTTGAGCATGCCCACAATCTCGTCTCGATAGATTTTTTTGTACTTGGTATGGCAGTTCTGAGAATATTAAGTTGGCAGTAAAGTCAAGTTTGGTGCATTCAAGAAGCCCCGTTTCTATGAATTGGTATGTCCAGGCCTAGTGCTGTTAGTTATACAATCCTGGAGATCATTAATTTGGTTGCGACAGCTCGTGTAAGAGATTTACTGGCTTCTAATTGTGGTGGAAAGAGGCTTCATTTTAGTGGCAGATTATGTTTGGAGATTCTTCGTTTGTGCGGTTCATGTGTTTATTCTCTACAGGGTTTTCCTCTGATGAATAAAAAGTACAAAAACTCTAGTAGCTTGCTCATGCTGAGAGTATCTGATTTATGGCAGGCACTTGGGAAAGTGGAATTGGACGTAAGAGGAGGAGAGGAAAGCATTGATGCAGCAGTGGGTCGAGCATGGAACATCTTCGGAAAAATTGATGTCCTTATATATTGCTCCACTGTTCCAGGTACGTAATTTGTCGTTACAAGTTGAAAAATTTGCAATGGTTGTCATATAAGTTTCGAAAACGTACCCTTGGATAGTATTGTTATTATTGCCATCATTATTACTTTATGTAATTGCCTCTATGAGAATCGAAATTTATTCTATTTGCGAATGCGTGAGGCTCTGTGCATAATTGAAGAGTACATCAATCATTGACTTCTTCTTCTTTCTCGTTCTCTTTTTTTCTTTCCTTTTATTTTCCTCCTGGGCGAGTAGTCGGGTGTTGAGAAGCTGAAGCTTAAATACGATTTCCTCTGTAGATGTTATTAAGTCCCCATTGGAACACAGTGAGTCAGACTGGGACGAAACCATGACAGTCAACCTTAAGGCGCCTTGGCTGGTAGCGAAAGTGTTTGCAAAACGAATGAAAGCACCAGAGACAAAGGGTTCCATACTTTTTATTACTTACATTACGGGCCTTGAAAGAGGTTATTATCCAGGAGTCTCTGTGCACGGAACTGCTATGGCTGGCCTTCATCAGTTAGCTAAGGTGACAATCAATTCTCGATGCCAGTTTGCGCCATTTCCCTCGTTTGGACTTGCATTACCAGCACTGTACAACTGATGCTTTTTGCTTTAGATCCCAGTGTTTGCTTACTAACTGATAGAACCCTGGATGGTGTTGATACTAATTTACAGTACATGGGAATGGAGCTGGGAAAGTACGGCATCATGGTTGCAGCAGTCGCAAGGGGCTTATCGAAAATAGATCCCATGTTAGCTTCGAAAAGTGATGAGGAGGTGCAAAAGTTTGCGAAAAAAATGCCCTCGCAGAGATGGACGCATCCCGTGCGTGACATTGAAGCTCTTATTGCTTTCCTTGTCAGTGACTTTGGGCATTACAGCACGGCGAATGTTTTCATTGCTGATGGAGGGCAGTCTTTGCCAAGACCTCGGATGAAGTCCTACTTGTAGTTAAACAATCTACTACATGATGCAGAATCATGAACCAATTCTAGTTGAGATATCTGGAAGTGATTTTTGTAGGTTTGAGGTACCCATACACCTTGTGTATCTTGACAACTGTGATTGGTTTGTGTAGATTTGACAACCCATATATTAGCCTCGAAATATGCTGCATTGTCGCGACAATACAACCAATACAAGAAAGCTTAATCTCAAGATTCACACGCTTCGTAAAAAAAATCCTGTTAATACTAGCCAACTTGGAATTACTGACAAAACAGCCATCTTACAGTGGTGTGGTCTTGGTTTATAATCTGCTATTCTATCAACTCCTAGACCATTCAAGTTCAATTCTGTACAAGCTTTTTTCTTCAATATGTATCACTATTTATAATCAGGGGTTCTTGTAACAACCAATTACGAAGCCAGACATCTGGATTGAGCATTCCGAACTAAATCTTGTAATGAAATGATTGTGACTCCTCCTTGCCTCTGTCCTGTTTACCTCATTGTCTATAATGTCACAATTTCCTGAATCTACTATGGTGATTGTGCATACATATATACTGGACTACCCATATCTTTGTCACTGCATGACTTGGGTGGACTTCCCTGGTCAGAGAACCCGCGTAAAGGTCATGAGTGAATGTGTCATCGTTTCTTTTGCTCGGGAGGCTAGCTATGACCACAGCAACGAACTAATTTAGCCGCTAATTCAAGTCGAACTCCAATCTGCTCTATGCACACTACAACCATATGCATGATCGTCATGGCAGCCTGCAGATTACACTACTTAACTGGTCACTGGGTTAACTGCTGATCTCACGCTGAAGGGTTGTAACTGTAATTAGGTGCGCGAGCTCTGGTGTATTGAGGTGGGCTAGCGCTCAAGCTACCTCCTGAAAATCCTAATTCAGTGTTGGGACCTGTGGTTGAACCAGGAAGCAGTGCATTGATGGTCGCGCGCGGCTGCTCGTAGTTGAAGGAGAAGATAGACTCCAGACCTTCGTTGTTACTGGCACCAGAGAACTGGCCAATCGAGGTTGACCGGAACGTGCTCTGGACCTCCTCATCGGAGATCGCTCTATTCTCAGGCATCGTCCCCACGCCAGGTCGGAGGGGCATGAGAACATTCTCCACTTGACGCATGGCGCTGTCTGAAGCGGGCTGTCGCAGACTAAGAGTCGTAGGTCTCTGGGAGGAAGTCGGCCCGAGCTCCAGTACTTGTCGATTGAACTTGTCGAACTGCTGGTTGTCGAACAGCCCATCCATGGACCGGGCCATCTTCGAGCCGAACGGCAGCTTTGAATTGAACCCCAACAATGTGTGGCTGCCCACGGTCCCTTGGTGGGGTTGCAGTCCTCTCTGAAGACTTAGAATGTTCCTCTTGAACTCGGGCGATGATTCTACTTCCACTGATTTGTTTTCTCCAGTCAGTAAACCCTCTACGAAATGATTGTCATCGGGTTCGGAAAATCCAGTGAAGGAGCCCAGGCGGGGTAGGGCTAGCTTGGGTTCGCCAATTTCAGGCAACGAAGCTAGCACCTATTAATTCCCACAAATATCCCAATATCAGAAGGAGGGGGAAAAAAAAAAGGGGGGGGGGGGGGGGAAGATAGCTAATAACTTTCACGTAGTTGCATCGTCAAGATTACCCAACAATCAATCCCGGAAGCAAAAATCAATACAGTACTCTCGACATCACACTGTGTCCTTGACCCAACTGAGGTTAATCTCGCGACAATCTAACCTTTACTCTGGGACCACAGGGCTAAGGCATGACGATTAATGACCGCGACAAGGCCTAAGGAAAGGCCGAGTCAGGCACAGTCCGTGTGCTTGGCAGGAATACATCATGAACCATGTTTCAGATAAGGGACCACTCGAGGCTCATGTGTAAGGTGCGTGAATGCACCATGCATGTCACCTCAGTGATAACAGTGATGATACTGTGGCCATATCCGTAGACAGAACTCATCTCAAGTTTACTAATTGTCGAGCAATCCTCAGCCAATCATTTAAATCCTCATGGAGAATAGCCGCACAGACTACAGGACTTCCGATAGTACATACACACTGGCCCTTGGATTCTAGAATGTGCCAGGATGTGCCGCAAGACAATAGGTCTGGGACCGACAACTAGCTTAGCCCAACAAGCAATGCAGGCTGTGGTTTTACAGTGGAATTACAAAATTTGGTTATCAATGCGCATTACTTCATGTTTCGAATCATCAAAGTAGTATTCCATAGTCGAAAACTCTCTATATCAAGTTGCAACATATGTCTTCACTGTAATGCAGCATTCGGAAGCCAATATCTCATTAGTTAATTAGATATTGGCTTCCGAATGGCAGAAATCGGCAGGGCACACTGTTTCAATTGACAACTAAGTAGACAAGAAGCAGCTTGAAAAGGACGAAACAAGAGATCTGCTCAGTAAGGATTGGCCATGGCCGCCAACACACTGACCGGAAAAGGGTCACACCACGAGATACATCTGCTCTAAAGCAAAGTTCCTCCACATATTCGAATCCTAACAGAGATAATGTTGACATTCGTGCCTCGACGACATCTTTTAATTGGTTCAGAATAAGGACACTTATTCAGTTACGATCATGAATGCGAACCAAATGAGAGCTTACTTACCTCTTCGACGCAAGAAGAGCTATCACGCTCCTTGCCAGTACGCTGTGCATTTGTACTCTTTTTGTAGATCCGGCACAACACCCAATCATCCAACTGCGCACAGAATGTAAACAAAATCATAAGCACCATGAACAATCGCCTTCAGATACGATTGACGTGTGGAATGTGCACAGAATTAGTGACAGCACCATCCTACAACACGTCGCCAAATGCACACTCAGCACCGCACAAGGCAAGAGGTCCAAAGCTCAACAAAGTTGAACACATAAGGATAACTTGACCCATAGCTGCAATCTCCTAATAACGAGGGCATCACAAGTCAAAAAGTTTTGGCCAAGCTTATCTTCCTGGCCTAATAAAAACTAATAATCTTTGTACGGGAATGGAGACCTAAATCTGTGCACCATAACCAGTGCAAATCTAGCGCACAATCTTTGGAGTATATTTTAAACAACAGAACACCACGAAATTAACAAAAAGAGTGTGATAGAGAAAAGCACATACCCGAAGGGATCCTTTTCTGTGAGCATGTACAGAAGCACATACACCCTCTGCCAACCGATACTCATGCATAATCCAGTTGGTCTTGACACCTTTGGGAGCACGGCCTTTGTAGAACACGAGGGCCTTCTTCACTCCAATCTTTCGAATGCCTCCCACGGACGTGTGAATTGGCTTGTCCGTTCCTGTGGCTTTCCAGTACCCAGAGGCAGCTGCTCGGTTGGGTCTGGCTCCATTTGGGTACTTTCTGTCTCGTGGGCTGAAGAAATACCATTCTCTCTCTCCGAATATTGCTTTTCCTGCAGCAAAGTTTTAATTATACTCCAACCTCGGTGTTTAATGATCACATGGACACAGAAGTTTAAATAACTAACTTCCGTTCAATTTGCGAGAAGCTTAAAAATGCTCAGCCGTCAAAATAAACGGTCGAACACAAGCCGGAGACGAACCAAAACGTAACCCACTTCTAAAAACACTGGTAATTGATCCATGAAAAATCACCGTCCTGGGAAAAGCAACAGTTATGCTTTGAATTTACTGCCATACTGTAGGAACAATTAAATTACTAACCCTCATGATGGTATTGACTTCACAAAAAAAATAGGGACAAGGTAGGCATACCAGGAAGGTCCCAAGGGTCGAACTTGTACAGGTCAATTTCCGCAATGACAGGAATTGCGAAGACATGAGACTCGGCCTTCCGACACAGGTAATGCAGCACCAGCTCTTCGTCGGTGGGATGGAACCGGAACCCTGGTGGCAGTTGGAGTTGGGTCACCGGCCCTCCAGTAGGTGATGCTAATATCACCATATCTATATCTACTTCACAAAATGCCTGAAAATTCTGCTGAGGTTATTTTATGTTGCTTTTGTAGAGCCAAGAACCTCTAAATACCTTGTATAGGATTCCTTCAACTGGCCGACTATTTTATCTCAAAGCAGCATAATACTGCAACTATCAAGTTGTGACACCAGAAATTAAGTTCAAACTGGATTTAAAACAAGCATGTATATACACCAGCACAATGATACATGTATATCTCCGAGTAGAAGCGAGTATGAGAAAAAAGTACTACAGGACTTCTTAACGATGAAGCCTAGGTTATCTGCTATACAAATATGTAAGTAAACTATACGTGGTAAGATCTAGTGAAGCTTCTCTAACAGTGACTTATCCTATTCTCGTAATGAATTGGGTTGAGACAATGGCCAGGCCAAAGCCTACCACTTATTCCATGAGATGGTCGCTCTTGTTTGGACACGAGGGAGCGCAGGACTCAATTTGAGCTAAATTGGGTGATTTTGACAACACCGGGTCTGGTTGGACGAATAGGAGAGTATGGAAGGGCAATGCGTGAGAACAAGTGGGACTGGATAGAGAAATTCGGTGACCATTGGTTTCACAAGCTTCTGCATTTGTCCAACAAAAACTGCTTCGATCGATGAATTCCTCGTGGAAATCTTCCTAAGATAACATCTTCATACGAAGGACGCTCACTTTCCCGTTGACTAGCTCAACATAGTACTTATACATCTCGTGTTTGAACTCCTCCTCACTTCCTTCAAGTGTGACAAAGCTTGTGCTTCACGCCACCCGTCTTCTCAGATGCTGCAGCAATTATGATGCTCAGTCTACATATATAGTGCGAGTTATTTCCCCACTGCAACCTCCTTAACAACAACAATCGCTCATGAGATGCTTGTGCATACGCCGCTCAAGTTCAGGTTGCCAAGTGTCAAACGGTTCGAAGGGAGAGCCTTGTCCTGGAGCTTCCTGCTGCTGCCTTGACGCGCAACTGTGACTAAAAGAGACTGATGCACGTCGACCCCAGAACATGCGTACCGACGGTGAGAAGAACTAAGACTTCCTCTGAAGCGAACCAACTCTGTGTCAACATCAACCTCTGGATATCACAAGGTAATGATCCTAAAACGAAGGTTCTCCAAAACCAAACCCCAATTTCAACTTCGGAACTCTCGTGAATTATTCACAAATCGCTTTTTTGAGAAGTTGGGAGCACGAATTTAGACAACTAGGAGCTATCAGTAAGAACTTGTGCCTTCAAGAGGAACACTGAATTATCTGGTGCACTCAGGTGTACAAAGAACGGTATATTAGGCTCATCCCGCCAATTACTACATAAGCAAGCTCGCTAAGCTCGAACCTTTTTCCACATGCATGCATCTCAAATCCCGACCTGATGGTTTAAAAAAAACAAAGCAGCTCTGCACACCTGATTCTCCATGAAAGAGAAGATATATATAACCCTTCAGTAGAGGAGTACATGTGCTCTCAGACTTGTAATAGAACCGAGAGCTGGATACGTGAGACCTCCCCTGAAGTATGTAACTAGTTCTCGCGCACTCGCTGTGCACTTGTTCTTGACATATCTGGACACTTTCTGTCTTTCTCAAGATGCCAGGGGAGCAGATCCAACAAGGTTCATAAGAGAAAGACCGTTCGACAAGTAATTCTCCAACAAGAACATCAATCTATGCACCCCCTTCCTTGAGATCAACCAGTTGTTACATCTGATCCCACTTCAACCGCGGCGTGGATCGATGAGCAACAACTCATCACCTGGCGCCCAATGAGCAACACCTTAACACCCAATCCTCGAGAGCACGACCCCATACGCCACCCGACATCATGCAATACAGGCAAAGGGGATCGGAATCTCCCGAACACACAAGCTTCACATCGCCCTTGCGCGCGTGCTCGGATTCAAACTAGTCATTCTCGCTCGATACCGCATGAAACCGGGTGAGATTTGTGCCGCCGTGGATCTATTTGAGTGGGCGATGGTGGTGCGAGGCAGTGGGATAAAAGGCTCTCCGGTGCGAGGTATGGTGGCGGCCCAAAATTTGTGATGCTAACGTCGTAGGGCGGGGTAGGGAAGAAGAAGAAGAAGGTGGGTGATCGAGGGAGCCAGCGTCGAACTGGTGGCCACTCGCCGCGTCCACCTGGACTGGAAGCCCACCAGGGTGATTCCACGACTGCCATGTCACCATGCCACGCCCAAGCACTTTGCCACGTCACCCAAAAATTGCGCGTAATTAGGGGTGCGGTAGGCCTACTTCAGACACATAGCTTGTCATTTGCGGTCTCCTATATGATGTATTAATGGTTGCCTCAAATTCAGCAACGGAATTCTTGTCAAGGCAACTTTTGGCTCTCGTTGGAACCACATTCCAACCATCCTTGAAAGGTTACATTGGGCTCTCTCTTTTTTTCCTCCAATTGTAAGGATCAACGCGGTTCATTTTGGTATTAATTTCAAAATACTATATTTTTGAAAAGTGGGGTGAGTTTAGAAAATGAGGAGTATCTTGTTCCATGGGTTACCCCTTTCTCCTTTGGAATCATCCTTTCATTGGGGGGAGGGGAGGCCCCATGGTATGTGCAGATCCCTTTTGTGGAACTAAAGCCATTACTTATATTAAAACATGGACATTCCATCACACAACAGAACTTTTCTTGTTTCAATAATGACCCCTATGCAAACAACAACATAAAAAAAACAAGATTTAGTTCCATTACAAACAAATGAAATGCAAAGCTTGAATATTTTAAAACAAGCTCCTTTTGTGGCACTGATTCAATAGTGTGTGAGAGTGGGGTTCATACCAATCATTGAGTTCAGTATTTATCCTTTTGTTGCAGTAATCTTAACTGATTTCATCCACTTATTGGAGATCCCTAGTTTGATCATGGTTTTATTATCATTATCATTGTGTGCATTGGGGGGGGGGCTATTGGAGAATATATACTGAAGCCAAGTTAGTATATACTACCCATTTGGTAGATATATCCCCATCCATAGCCCTCTAAATGTCCACTTTGTAGGCCACCCTCAATTTTTAGGGTTTCTGACTTCCAGGGTTTTTGTGGGGTTTCATGTCCAATCTCTCTCTCATAATGGTTTAAAATATTATGTGGCGTTTTCAGGAGATGGATCTGTCACTTCTAAACCCCTTGGCAAGCAAGCGTGTGTCACTAACCCTTCCATCTGAGAGGTCCTAGTCTATTTTATATTTTCAAAGAGTGCATTGACTATTGATACTCTTTTGTGTTGCAAGATGTCTCTAGGAACATGCTGCACACATACACTCTCTCTTGCCCGACCTGTCATGAACCCTTGTGTTGTTATCTGTCAATTCTACAAATGGTGACATGAATGGTTGATCCTTATAGCAAGGATTAAAGCATTTCACAATCCTGGAGTGCTGAACAATCACTGTTAATAATATGGGAGTTATACATTGCTGCAAATTTTGTTTTTTTCAAAAATAGTGTGCAACTTCCATGCATGGTAAGCTGTATCTATAGTATTTTCTTTTTTCAAATGATCAAACTGTGAAGATAAGTATCACTGTGAATTTCCAACAAAAGCATACAAGCAACTTAAGTTTGATTTCAGAATGCATTCTAAAACCTAAACATCCATCCATTCATCCAACCAAGCATAACTCAACGCATACAAAAGAATCATACAAGTTACACCATAGCATTGAGCCAGTCAAAAAGCATGAAGGGATTGAGTTGAAGGGTGTCCAAGCTGGAAGATCCGCGCTTTGAAAATCCCCCCAGAGCATTATCACAGCCAACTGGGGGGCCGACTTTCAAAGTGATAAGCCTCACCCTGAATAAGTGGGGCGATGTCTGGATGAGTAGCGATCGCTACCAGATTTCCGAGTTGATTGGATCAATGTGAATTTCTAGATGTTAGGAAAGTCAGCACATCGCAAAAATCCCTTCCGGCCCCTTTATTCTGTAAGATTATGTCCTTCACTGTGCCCTCCAATTCTTAGATGAGCCTCAATCTCAGCCAAGCGATGACGATTTACCAAGGGTGGTTGCGTCAGCGGCAGCATTCAAGCAGCTTCTTCGTCGATAAATAGCGAAAAGGGAAAGAAAGGTAAATTCCCTGACTTATCCGGTGCCAACTGCTTGCTTTAGTGCGAACTGGAGTACTCTGGTTCGAGGGTCCCTGTATAACAACCAACTTTGGCTGTGCGACGATGCTTGCGCGTCATTGCCGCACCCGGCTGGAATTGCTCACCAATCTTGCAGTGAAGCGCGCCAAGGGACGAAGTCAAAGCATCGCGCAGGTTGTTCGTCGTCGTGGAATAAACGCGTTTACGAACAGACCTATCCACGTGTTTGACACAGGGGGTGGCCGTTGGGGCATCGCTAGTTTTATCCTGGAGGATGGAGCTTTGAATGTTTCGCATCGCGCCGGGTAAGCTCAGCATGGTTTAAAGTTTGATGCGAGCGATCTGATTCCGATGGAGGGATAACTTTGTTGAAGCTTATCCCCCTGGAGTTCCAAGCGAATGTCATGACTGAGTCTAAAATGGTGGTTCGAAAGCTCAGTGCAGGACTCTTTATGTACAGCGTAGAACATGTTCATGATCTACGTCGCTTGTCGGATAGGTGATCTCTGATTTTGCCCCTTCTTAATGCGACGCATCGTGGCTGTCCACAATTGCAAGATTCTAGCTTAGATCCATCCGCCCGATCGATGTCTAGAAAACTTTCATAATCCAAGTTACCAGCACCCTGGTGATCCACCGTCAGAAAACAAACCACGCAGATTCGACGCAGCGGGATCATGAGACGAACCGGGGCGGCCGATAGAAAATAGATATTGAGTCTATGTGGCAGTTACAGACCAGTGCGTTCATCTCACATCACCGAGAAAAGAAGATGAAGAAGAAACCCGAGTGGCAGCTTACTATGGGTAAGAAAACCCAGAGAGAGAAAGTGGACCTCTAGGAAATTCTTGTACCGAGATTCCAAATATAAAGTGGCACTGTGATTGATTGGTAGGACAGGGGGGAGGGGGTAGGGAGTTGCTTTGGCAATGGACCCCAGCCAGGGGCGGGCGAGGCAAGAGCGGCCCTGCTTTCCTGTGCCAACTATCTGCATGCAAAAGCTCCAGCAAGGATTGCCACATCGGGAGCGTTGGTGATGAACCTTTGTGTGGGGGTGTTTTTTTCCTTTTGGTGGGGGAAGTGGTGAAGCTGATTGGTAGGTGGACAGGTACTGCAGATCGTGCCCCTCGAAACCCAAAAGAGAGGACCGAATTTTTGGCATGAGAATAGGATGTGGTCCCTCCCTGCTTGCTCCGAGCAACAGTTTGCGCCGCGATGCGCAAGCAACGCCAGCCGCAGCTTCCATGCACAGTGGCTGACGACTCCTCCCCCCACCCCAACCCCACCATCGTGCTCTCTCTCTCGCTCTCTATCTTTCCCTTCTCCTCTCCCTTCTCCTACTGTCTCCCCGCTGGCTCAATTCACCAGCAGCTCCTCCTGCTCCCCCCCCCCCCCCCCCCTCCTGATGCATGATGCCCAGGACAGCAACTTCGGCACATCTGTACCCAAAACTTTCCGTTCCATCGCGGCTCAGTCATCCCGCCGGAGCCTGTTCGCTCCTTTCATGCGCTACTGCTGATCTCGGACCCAGCTCCCCTCCTTTCCTTTCCTTCCCTTCTGCTCCCAATGTCACCGTCCTTGGCCCACAGACAAAGCATAAAAACATCGCCACACACACGCACCCACCCATTCTAGTGTAATTGTTCTTGTCAGTTCATTACCCAACAACATTCATTGTTAACCGTCTTGTGGCTTTTTTTCCTTATCATTCAGACTTGTAGGTCAGTGAGGCTTCGGCACTCAACTACTGCTTCTGTGCTCTGATTCACCCTACGTTATTGAAGAACTTTAAATCGAATATTGGTTCCCTTACTCCTGCTATCTAATCATGATTTTGTAAAGAGAGTTCTTGCTTTATCAAGTTCTTTTTATTTCTTCTTTTTTCTTGATTTTGGTGTTGTATTTGGTTTAATTACTTGACAAATAAGTGTATTTAAAACCATACATGTATTTAAAAGGTGGCATTTCAAAAGGATTTCATAACAAAGAAAGCATTATTGATCTTGGTATTGTCAATGAGCAATTTAGGTTTGTTGATTCAACATTGTAACATCCCTATACCACATGTATTATTATTACTAAAACCATTGACTGCATTTAATAATACAAGTCATCCAAATTACAACCATAAGCAAGAAAGAAAGACTTTTACAATCTCAATGTGTGTTCATAGGGGAAAATGACAGTTCATAAGAAATGACATATTGCATATGAATGACAAAAATATTCTTTAAAAATTAATTAAAAATAATAAATCCCTGCTAAATAAAATAAAATAATAATGATATTATATTTCAATTTTTGCATGAAAGAAAAATTATTTTTATATAATTTATGATTGCAAAAACCAAAAGCAATGTATGGTGATAATTCTAAAGCAACAATTTTAATGCATCAAAAATTCGAAATAATTAGAGAAGATACTTAATTAAATCAATTGGATCACACTAGTATTAACCATTCATTAATTTTTTTTTGCTATGATAACTTCTTTTTTCTTCTTTTTTTATTAATATTTAAATAGATTATTAAAGAAAGAAAAGCATTTAATTTCATGTCACCACAATGGCTATCAGTCATATTTACTCTATTTGGATATCCAAGATAAAAATTCTAAATACTAATAAATGTTGGATTTTTCCATTGTTTTGAATATGTTACCTGTCAGAGCAATCAAATGGCACAAGGTCACCCGAAACTCATAGAGCAAAGAGTGGGAAGATAAGAACAATACTAACATTGCCACCACAAAATACGGAGGTGCAGCTCAAGTACGGGCTAGGAAGGTAGGAAATTTAAGGATCAAAGAAATACCACAGTAGGCAGTAGGGAATTAGTGGAATGAGTATGTGGTATTGGATAGTAGAACCTTGAGGTAGAATAGTATTGGGCTAGAGGCTGTGTGATTCCAATTTTTTAGTAATAAACAATCTCATTTATGAAATAAGTGCATGTTATTAATTGCAACTT